GTTGTGACACCGCTTCATTCAGTACATCTGATTACGTTCTTTATCTGACCGCTTTCCCCGTGATTAGTGTAAGAAAAAGCATCAAATCCGCTAATAAATTGTGCTTTGCACGTTTACAAAATTGTAACCTGGGTTTTATGAAAGGTTAGTTATTCGTTGAATTCCCAGCAAATACTATTAGCCAGTTGGTGAGAGCAGTTTTAAATGAGTCCAAACTCTTACTCACATCCAACATCGCTCTTGTTCGATGGTCAGAATTGATTTGTTCACGCAGCTGAAATGAGAGTTGGAAAAAACACACGGACAAATGTTAATTTCAGCGTTTCTGGGATTTACGACCAAGCGTAGCAATGCTAAAGCTAGCCTTAAGTGGCACCACTCACCGTCGACTTCTTGTGTAACATTTCTTTAGTTTTAGCATCCATTAGCCTCTCTTTCTCTTCGTGATAGCGACGCTGTTGTTCTAATATAGTCTCCATTGTCCGCAAAAATGTAGAACGTTTACTGGAGACGAGCTAAGGTTTCTAATGGGGTAGAATACAAATGAACGAAAGCGGCAATACCCGCCGTATCTGGTACGTTTGTTTTCAATGGCGCATGTCGCCGAGCTAACGGCCCGCACTCTATCAGCCGTATGAGAAACATGAACCCGTGGAAGGGTTCCGCACTGGTCATGTCTGTGTACAATACTTCTATCTTCTTTTATCTGAAGCCTTTCGACAGTTAATAATAACATTGGTTACAGTTTATTTTTAGACAATTACCGTGAAATCCTTTGACACAAATTGTTGAAAGTAATGGTTTCTTTTAGATTTTGACCGTTTTAGCTAGATGAGTTGATGGGCATAACAGCAATTCCTTTCAAGAGGATCCCTGGTGTTTATATCACTGAAATGTAGAAACTGCTTCTGAAAAGTACTCTTTTTCAACGTGATGGGTTGGCACCACACCGTGCACGGTCTGTGCCGCGTGCTCGGTATTCTCTTTGCACTTCCTTTGTAGTCTACACTATCATCAAAGCCTGCCATAACACACAACGCACCCTCGCGGAGGCGCGCGCACGAAGGCAGTCTGGAGCCGTCAAGCGTCGGATTGGTTAAAGAGAAAAAGACCGGAAGTGTGAACTCTGTGTCTTAACATAAAATACGTCCATCTTTTAGCTTTGTGCTTATTGTTTTTTTTGTTTTGTTTTGTTTTTTGGTTGGTTTTTTTTCCTATAATGCTCAACCGAGGATGTAACATAATCGGATTAATGATGGTGCCTTGTATGTTATACTGTTGTTTGTAAATAAAGTTTTTTTTTTTAAAAAAAAAACATAAAATACGTCCATTCATCCATCTTCTTCGGAGGGCTTTTTTATAATCAGTTGCTTGATTCAATAAAAAATAATCTGAACTAGGTTGCGTTATAGACTGACATGTTTGTATATTCCTTGTTATTTTTTTCGGCAATTTTCACTGGTATCAAAATAAAATCCAAATTTAAAAATGTAATGGTTTGAAATAACACGTTACACAGTAGAATCAGGGAAGATAAAGCAAATAGTCTAACGAGTGCAAAACTATTCTGTGTTGATATTGTGTGAAAGGACATTACAAGCCTCAGGTCTACTCGTGCACACGTGGAAAATTACACAGATCGTCAGTGTAATTGTTTAACCTCATTTGGAATAAGTTAAAGTGTATTGCATCATATGAATATTGTTTTTTATAGGCAGTCTTCGGGGGAAATAAGCCACAGGCTCTTATTTTGACAGATTAAACCGGAAACTGTGCTCGTCACGGTCGCTACCGTGACAGTCGCGGTTTCACCACATTCTCGAGCAGTCAGTCAAAGCAGCGGACAGTAAAAAGAAGCGGACGAGCAGCGTTGCGGATTTACAGAATAAACAGTGGAGCTTATAACACACACGTCCCGCCAGCTTATAAAGGTGAGCTGCTCGTATTCTTCTCTAATGGAGTCAACTCTATGAACACAACGAAGATTTATGGGGTTATTTTGTGGGGAAGGGGCGGGGGTGGTGGTGGTGGGGGGCATCCATTCTGTCTTTTGTGCTGGAGCAGATTTGGCAGCGGTCACTGAGGTCCGCTGCTGTAGAGGAGAGATGTCGAACAAGTGTGTCCTTCAGCTTTATCT